TCAGTCAAACAAAACCCGATACAACTTGGCAACCACGCATTTCCTCACCACGGGAATCGGGTTTTTGTTTACTCCTTACCATGACGATCGTGGCCATAGCAACAGTTTTTCCATAACTGATTTCAGCTATACTAAACCCGATACAACTTGGCAACCATGCATTTCCTCACCACGGGATTTTGTTTTCTGTTTACCTGTCACCATGACAACGGTTGCCATGGCAACAAATTTTCCATAACTGATTTCAGCTAAACGAAACTTGAACCGTTAGGAACAAGCGTGGACATGTGATTCCTGGTCCTCTTTTTCCAATCAATTCTCTGAACAATCTAACTGGACAGCGCTGTGGGTTTTGTTCATTTTTAGTAAGCCACTTGCTGTCTGCGCATTTCTGGTTTCCTCCTTGACAGGTTTTTGTAAAAATTGGGTTATATTCTATCCTACCTGATTCATTTCCATTATTCTGGATTCGAAATTTGAAATGTTCAATCAAAGCTGAACAACCTTCGCCCCCACGCCACGCTAATTCTACTGAAGCCAAATAGTAAAACTTTTTTTAAGTCCATCTGGAGTTTTTTCATCGCATTTGTCAATAATAGCAAACATATTTTCTATACTTAAAGCCGTTGAACTTTGTTTCCGTTTTTCCAGATGTTTCTGCAATTCCCGTCTCTTGGCATTGCGTGCGTCTCGAGAACTTTTGAATTCGCACGCTTGAAATGGATCTATTTTTATGTTATACTTCTTGAAATACATCTCTTGAAGAGTTTTAGCTGTAGAATTCCACATGCACTTCACAGTATATTCTTTATAATCTTGCCCATTTTCTTTTTTCATATTCCAGGCCCAGTCTTTCAGAATATCATTCAGTTTTGTGATTGGTGTCGACTCATTCAATTCATATTGACGATGCCCGAAAAATTTAGTAAACTGATTCCATACGCTATTTTTACTCCTCACTGTATTGTCAGGGATTGTACCCTCGATTATCTTATCTATCTCTTCGTTTATAGTTTCTCCAAATCGATTCATTTTCAAATACTTATACAGCAGCTTCAACACGATTGATTTTATTTGACGTTCAAGATGTATTTATTTAGAGTACTGTCAGATGCACAGGTTCATTGATATACAGAGTGGGCCTTTGAAAACGAAACAGAGGCTCTGTAGGTCGCCAAAACCGGATTATCAAAAAAAACTGAAACAGGTCAACTACATTTTCGAGGGGGACATCTTTCTAAAATATTTTCAGCCCTGCGGCGTTGCCGCTTCTAAAGAAAAGAAGCAACAACTTTGTTATTTCAAATGGAACACCTTGTATTTTATTGCATTCTTAGATTCTCTCCGAAGAGCTGAATTCATCAATGCATCACACTTGGGGTCTAGCTGTAATGGTTTCAGGGATATAAAGTGTTCACAATCGAGATTTTTCAACTTTAAAATTTTTTTGTGTCGAAACTATTCATTATTGGTCAAAACGGCTCTCATGTCCCTATCTCAACTTGTGATTTACTATCTACTGACATTTATTTGAAACAAATAAAGGGTGGTTCAAGATTCAGAATTCTGATCACCCTGTATCTGTTCCAATTAAATGTTAGCAGATAGTGAATCGCAAGTTGAGATAGGGACATGGGAGTCGTTTTGACCAATAATGATTAGTTTCGACACAAAAAAATGTTAAAGTTGAAAAATCTCGATTTTGAACACTTTATATCCCTGAAACCATTACAGCTAGACCCCAAGTGTGATGCATTGATGAAATCAGATTTTCGGGGAGAATCTAAAAATGCAATAAAATACAAGGTGTTCCATTTGAAATAACAAAGTTGTTGCTTCTTTTCGTTAGCAGCGGCAACGCCGCAGGGCTGAAAATATTGTAGGACGATGTCCCGCCCCTCGAAAATGTAGATGACGTGTTTCAGATTCTTTTCATAATGCGGTTTTGGCGACCTACAGAGCCTCTGTTTCGTTTTCAAAGGCCCACTCTGTATATAGGTATTATGCTGAATAGTCTGTGACTATTATGCACCATGTAAATAGTCGCTAATAGAGCGTGTTGATTGGTCCTGTCAAACAGGAAACAAACGTATCATTGGTTGATGACTGATATTCAATAGACGAAAGAAATAATCCCAGATATATTTGAGGGCATCACATTAATGCCACACATCACATCCGTGACTCGAATTGAGTCACACTGAAATCACAATGACTGCTATTTCGGTCATTTTATGAATCACATTACGATGCGAAATGAAACTGTAATGTAATAAGCGACTCCCCATTCAACATAGAAATTGATCGATTCGGTTTGTTACATAATTGGACAAGAATGTGAGGTTCCAGTGAGTTTCTTGGTTGTTAGGGAGCCTCACATATTTACCTACATTTCAAGCTTGGGCCTATAATTTGGCAATCGTACATCTCCGCCAGCTAGCATCAGACGAAATATAACACTTCCGATTTGACCGGAAGTGCATCCAATTTTATAAATAAATATTAATACCCTGTATCTCGAAAACGAACTTGGGACACATGTTCATATGAACTTTATTTCCTGAAATATCACAAATAATCACCCCTTGAATTTTTTCGGTGTTATTTAGATACACCCTGTATATCACTCAACCATTGGCCGAGCCAGTAGATATTCACTCGCACCACGTCCGATAAATCAAGACACGCTTGAATTCAGTCTGTTAGTCCTATGCTTTCCTACAAAACCCATTCCCAACCCCTACCCACACCATCCCATGGCAGTTGCACTTGGAAGTATTGTAATAGTGTTTTTTTTTTCAACTAACTGAGCAAACTAATTCGAAGAGATCTTGGTAGCAGCAAATCTGAACATAGAATTCTCGCTGGCCCTGAGCATCTCGATGGCCCTGAGCATCTCGCTCGCCCTGAGCATCTCGCTGATATTCGGTCCTATTCACTGAGAGCGTGGTTATTTTAACAACTGTCATTCGGGTGGTGAATATGAAGGTCATTGGTTATTTGAACCACTTACAGATTTTCTGATATGGCATAGATGAATAATGAATTAACAACTTCTTCTGGTGATTTGTGGAGTGGTTAAGATTTTTAATGAAGAAATGTGGCACTATCTCAAGGAAATGTTGTTCATCTGTTCATGCTAGATATTGCAAAAGAGGTAATTCTACGACAGGAAAATATTAAATACCTACCTGATTATTTGTGAAAAAATTACCTATTTCACTAGAATAATTAAGGAGAGTATCAAACAATAGAATTTTGAGTGATTCAACAAAAAATCATCCTTGAATTTCGAAAGATCTATCACATGCCAAAAGTATTGGTTTTAAAGGTTTTGATACCATTAATAGAACCACAGATAGAACACGTTGGTGGGCTACTTTTATTCTAGTACATGTAAAAATAAATCTCAGTTGAGTTATTGTAATATATCAGTACATGGAGCACTTAGAGAATATCATTTTTATAACTAATGCCTAGTATTTCAGATACTTGCCGCTTTACATTTTCTTGCACGAGGATCCTATCAGGGGAACTGCTTCTAATGTAACATCCTGTAACTCATTTGTAGACTAAAATCACTGAAAAGTGTCAAACTATAAGCAGCACAACTCTCAAAGAAACATATTTTGCATTTACATGTTGAGAACGGAAGCAGAATCGGTCCCGAAACGTCCAAAGATAAATAAAAATTCGATATTTTTTCAATATATCTATATTTATTTCCTTCAAGAATTTTTGCAAACAAATTGTCACTGACAAGCTACTGGATTTTTTTTTAGACTCCCTGATAGAAAAATTTGTTAAACGCAGTGAAATTTTGGGGCAAATCATCTGATTTGTCCCTCTACAAATATATTGAAATAATACGAATACTTTTATTTTATAGAAACGAGTAGAGAAAATCCCAAAGAACCAAGTAAAATGAATCTACCACCTCCTCGATTAATAACCTACAAGTAGTGTACCTACGTACGCACGAGCCCAAGATGGCCGCCGCCGGAAGTGACGTCACAACCGTTCCTGTGGTGGAAGGTGTTGGCTGCACGGAAGTGACGTCACAAGATGGCCGCCGGAAGTGACAAGTGACAGATACCATCTGTCACTCCTTGTGTTCCATGTCACTTGTCATCTGTCACTTGTCACTTCCGGCGGCCATCTTGTGACGTCACTTCCGTGCAGCCAACACCTTCCACCACAGGAACGGTTGTGACGTCACTTCCGGCGGCGGCCATCTTGGGCTCGTGCGTACGTAGGTACACTACTCCTACAGACAGTATTTTCCAAAGAACCATTATCATTCTCGAACTTGGGATACGATTATATGTTCAAAATCACCCTTTGAGTTTGTCGGTCTTTATAAGCTATCTCCACATGCTGTACAGCTCCAAATTACTATCACTAACTTCGTTGGCTTCCTCGTGAGGCAAATCGCCATAATATGTTAATTGCGAATCAGGATATGGAAACACTATGTATTCATAAAAAAACATTGCTCCAACGCATTACCGTACCTCACTGCCTCGAGAAGTTTGGACACACGGGACGCCTACTGAAAAAACTGACCAATCAACATTAAGTATAATTATTGTGTGTGACCAATTAACTGCGGATTCTTACATGCCAGTCCACGTTCACTGCATTCCGGGAAAGCTCAATAGAAAATATTTCATTTATTCCTATTAGAATGTATAAAGTAAATCAATGAGTCCTCGTTTCATCATTAAAAACGGAAGTGTGTCTCAAATAACTTTGTAAAGACAATGATAGTGTGTGTGTATGTGTTACGTCAGATCGGTTGAATCCATTATTGTTGGATTGTTAATAAGTAATAAGGTGACTTTCTGGTCATATTTTTTCAATTCCTCATATTTTCAACTTCAGGTGGAATATTCCGAATAATTCTCCGCATATAGAAGCAATTTAGCTATTCGAATAAGGACGGATTTATACCAATATAACTACCAATATTGAGTTAGTATCGATAACTACTAAAATATTCATCTCTGTGATGAATTCATGTATAGCTTATGCAGGTCAATATCCCCCTGGATGTAAATTGAATTTATCCTGTCCACGTTCCCTCTGAACTTGAATTCCCCTGTCAGCTTTCCATTCAACCAAATGGAAAAATATCCGATATCTTTCTGGATCATCATAGAGAACTTACTACCAGGCGGTAGGTCTAATTGGGAAGTGCGTTCCTCCTGACCCCAGAAGTTCTCAATCCATGCGTTTTTTATCAATAAGCATTCGCCGGACATCCCTAAAACATAGGCATAATTGTGATATATTGAATTTCCATACCATTGATTTGAGTATCCTGCTATATTTTTGAAGCGGTTTTTTATTGTGAACCTAGCTGTATAGAATGCACATTCAATGAAGCCAGTCAAGCTGGAACGGACGCGTCGTTTATTTCACAGCAATGAACATGGAATAAAGTCTGACTGAGATAAGAAACTGCTCAGACCTCATGAATTATTCTTTCAAACTTTGAATTACCATATATGTATAATTATGATTTACAAGACTAATGTAAAAACTTCACAAACAATGAGATTTCCACAAAATTCCTAATCAGACGACATGTTTCGCTAACACAGTAGCTTCTAGAAGAAAACAAGGATTAAAAAAAAAAGAAAATAAAAATGAAAAATTATTATACAGGGTGTTTCAAAAAAACCTGACCCCCTTGCTAGGGTAGATAAAACACTGCAAAATAAGTTGGGTTTGCTCAGTGAAAAAATGTCGTAACGGCATCTGTTTTCAAGATACAAGGTGTTGAAAAAATGATTTTTTTACACATTTTTCACGATTATGTCGAAACTACTGGCAACATTGTGATGAAATTTTGTATGAGTGTTCCTTGAAATCTGACACATCGTATGAATTTGTTTTTATATCTGACTTTCATAGAGGGCGCTAGTTACACGTTTCGTACCGAGTAGTTTAGATCATAACTTTTTTGAGGTTAGATTTTTCAATCCAAATATGATATGAACTTTAACATCATTCAATTACACTTGGTGAAACTCGATACAATGTTCCGTTTTCGGAATATTTCGATTTGAAAATAATGGAGTATAGTAATGATGTTGATATAAAATGAATTTTATTGGGTTCAATTACCTATTTATTCAGATTCAAAAACAATAAAATCATTCTTGCACTGGAGTTATTGATGGAACAAAGAATCATAAGTAGTAAATTAAGAGATATTTGACTAGAAACATGAAATATTGAATCAGTTAGTGTATGTGGATGTAGTGATGTACAATTATGTCTTACAACTATTGACGTGAATTTACCTATCTAGCATAAACTTTCTGCTCAAGATACAACAAAACAGTGTAATCCATGTTCTTAGTCAAATCTGTTTCCATGTTATTCTTGTGATTCATTGTTAAATCGATAAGTTTAGCATCAGAAATGTATTTTTGTTTTCGGTTTTCATTAAATAGGTGATAATTTTTCATAATACCCACTATAATACATGGCTTTATACCAGCAACAGTTATCACTTCATCATTTTAAAATCGAAATATTCTGAAAACGGTACACAGTATCGAGTTTTACCAAGAGTACATTTTTGGTTTTAAATTGAATGATGTCTAAGTTCACATCAAATTTGGATCGAAAAATCTAACCTCAAAAAAGTTATGTTCAAAACTACTCGGTACGAACCGTGTAACTAGCGCCTCAGATTCCAAGAAACATCCATACAAAATTTCATCACAATGTTGCCAGTAGTTTCGACATAATCTTGAAAAATGTGTAAAAAAAATATTTTTTCAGCACCTTGTATCTTTTGATAACGGATGCCGTTACGAAATTTTCTTACTAAGTAAACCCAACTTATTTTGCAGTGTTCTACCTACCCTAGTTAGGGGGTCAGGTTTTTTTGAAACAGCCTGTATTTAAAAAGGATTATTCCCAGATAAATAATATATATGAATATTTCTTTTCAATGCTTTCACCCAATCAAGGGGTTCAAACTTGAACGATGGAAACTTGTTATTTCTATAGACCTTCAATCGCAGATTCGTGATTAGGTTTTCTCAATTTAGAATTTCTTTTCACGTCCTGTATGATGAATATAAATTTGTCATACATCCAAAAATATTTTTTTTTTCATTTATATTCTTTCATTTTTTTAAATTCATTCTCGCCTCTCTGATCCCTAGCTCGTTTGTTACAACTCGTACATCGAAAGATGTCTTCTTGGTACCTATAGGTATAGTCGTAAACATACTATTTTGAAATAATGCCTCATCTTTATCGCTATACTTACTGAATCTGGGATTTACATGCAGATAAATCTTAGGACGTGGCCACACGTGACATCCATCTTGTAAATTGAAAGTAAATTCTGCAGGTAGTAGTTTCACTCTGCCTTCGAGAAGCAACTGGCATCCATTTTGAAAACCTTCTGATAATCCCGCAGTCAAAGGAATGTTCTGCCAAATGAAATGCATTTTCAACGTGTTGTTACCCACTTATTACTTACATTCTTATATCAATAAACTATGGAAATCGGTCGTCAAAATGATTGACACAAATGTAAAAACTTCACATACGATAAGATTAGATATACTGGTACGATGAACTAAACTAACCTTGGCTTGCTTATATATCCTACTTTCCCAACCTGAAAGATTAGTTACCTGTGGACAGGTTCGATAAACCTTCATTTTCGGAAATTAGGCACAATATCTACATTAAAATACGGTGTGCAGGATTAACTTGCAAGGGTTGATAGCAAATACATATCATTACCTACTAAGAAAACAAATTCAACAGGGGTGAACTATTGAGGTCTAATTGATCGTTAAGTAAAATGCCAGAATTTTTGAGTTAGTTGATTTCTTATGATTCAAAATGATTGAGCTTCATTCGTTTATTTTCTACGCGTAGAATTTTGAAATTGTCATCAAAACTATGATTTTATTCTAATATATGGTTGGCGTATGTTGAATTTGTTTCCTTTTTCAAAAAAATCATCTTATGTTCTTGAATGCGCTGATTAAACGTACGACCTGTCTGTCCAATATATACCTCAGGACAAGATCCAAAGTTGAGTTTGTATACCCTTGATTTTTCGAATTCAAAAGTTTTGTCTTTATTATTTTTGATAAAGTCCTGTTTATGTAGAAATGAAGCTAATTTTTCAGTTGATGGTCCGAAATAGGTTGAAGTTCTATAATTTTGATTATTATTCTTGATGGTAGGATAAACTTCTTGAATAGCTTTATTATGAAGTTTTTAGGATGAATACTGTCTATCAAATTAACGTTGTATCCGTTGTTGACTGCAATCTGTTTAATGATATTGAGTTCTTCATTGACATTTGCTTCCGAAAGAGGGACATTCACTAGCCTGTGTATCATACAATTATATGCTGCAATTTTATGTTGTTGAGTTGAGGGTGTGTTCAATTATTATGAATAGTGATATCAGTGTGGAAAGGTTTATAGAAAATTGAAAAATCATGTTTATCATCAATTTTACTTATTGTCAATTCTAAGAAATTGATTAAATTTTCTGTTTCTATTTCTATTGTGAATATTATGTTTGGATGAATAGAATTAATATATTGATGAAAAAAAAATGGACACAGGGCTGATGATTATTTGTATTGAAAGTTGCCTCGATCAGAAAACTCGGTGAGGTGGGAAGTAGTAATTAATTATTATTCCACTCCATTGAGTTGATGCGCCAATAATTCAGATGTGGACTAGAATTATACAATACATGCATTTCTATGAACCCAGCGTACATTCTCTTATATGATTATGTCCTATACAGGGTGAGTCATATAACTAACCAGCCATAGCCCAATGGCGGATACAAGCAGTAGTACAGTAGGCCCTGATAGAGGGATAGAGGGAGTCAAGGTGAGTTAATATACAGGGTGTTCAATAAGTCATGGATCAAAAGAAGTGGGGTGGTAGGGGGAGGGGTCATTCCCAATCAAATTAACCATATATGTGGTTACCCACTTGTTGATGTTCAAATGTTATTGTTTTTTCATTTCTATAAAAAGAATTGATAACGATAAAACTATGTCACGTTTAATTTCATCCCAGAACTAATTTTATGACATGTATTACTTCTTATCAATTACCTGAGTTTTGTCATCAAATGAAATATTTAAGTCGATTTTCAAATCCCGCTGGCAGATTTAAAAACTACCTCACAAAGATGACCAATCATAAGAAGAAGTTGCCCATTTCTTACAGATTCCGAAATGGTATTACATATGGGGTTATTCAAAACACCTTTTTTGTTATTAATTTTTTTCAAATGGGTCGCTTATTGTGTACCACTATTTTCTTGAAAACTGAGCTGATTATTATCAAAACTATAATTTTCGTCTGATAAGCTGGATAATTGCCTGAAGTCTATTGAAACTTTAGAACAAGACAATTTGGAAATACATGGAAAAATCGCAAGTTTGGAAAACAAACTCCAAGTCTCATTAGAACCTTATGGAAACATTTATCAGGAGATAAATATGCGTATGAATCGGGCCAGAAACATAATCGTCTATGGCCTTGAAGAAACTGAAGCAAACGATCAAGCGCTCTTTCATCATTAACGAATAGGTTAGATCATTTAATATGTATTTTTAATTTTTTTCTCTTCTTTTTTCTAAGTCTTTCTCTAGCATAGAAATCAAACTCTTGTTACAAGAATATTCTTTAAAAACAATAAATATATCTATCTATCTATCTATCTATCTATCTATCTATCTATCTATCTATCTATCTATCTATCTATCTATCTATCTATCTATCTATCTATCTATCTATCTATCTATCTATCTATCTATCTATCTATCTATCTATCTATCTATCTATCTATCTATCTATCTATCTATCTATCTATCTATCTATCTATCTATCTATCTATCTATCTATCTATCTATCTATCTATCTATCTATCTATCTATCTATCTATCTATCTATCTATCTATCTATCTATCTATCTATCTATCTATCTATCTATCTATCTATCTATCTATCTATCTATCTATCTATCTATCTATCTATCTATCTATCTATCTATCTATCTATCTATCTATCTATCTATCTATCTATCTATCTATCTATCTATCTATCTATCTATCTATCTATCTATCTATCTATCTATCTATCTATCTATCTATCTATCTATCTATCTATCTATCTATCTATCTATCTATCTATCTATCTATCTATCTATCTATCTATCTATCTATCTATCTATCTATCTATCTATCTATCTATCTATCTATCTATCTATCTATCTATCTATCTATCTATCTATCTATCTATCTATCTATCTATCTATCTATCTATCTATCTATCTATCTATCTATCTATCTATCTATCTATCTATCTATCTATCTATCTATCTATCTATCTATCTATCTATCTATCTATCTATCTATCTATCTGTTTATGAAATTTACAATACGCTTCTTCAAAATTTTTTCGAATATTTTTGAAAATATGCTCTATATAGCTATAGGTCTGTAATTTTCATCTGTAAATTTTACTCCAAAATATAGTATTCATGCATGGATTTCATTACCTCACGTTTAAATTTTTTCAGTTGACCCGTTTGAAAAATAACAGGGGAAGGGGCATTAAAGAAAAGCACTGTATATAAACTCATCTTGACTTCATCTATCTGTCATCAGACTATGGCTGGTTAGTCATGACTCACCATGTATATTACCACTTCTCATCACCTCACCCTATTTCATCATCAATGCATATAATATACCTTCTTCAACAAATGATAATCATCAGTTCTACAATCAATAGATATCTATGTATCATATTATATGATTCATCCTACTAACTCCGACAATAATGATAAGGCCGCGAAACCTCGAGGTCGCTAAATATTTCGTGGACTATAGTCACTATCTTCATATTATTCTGAAAAGATAATATTTCAACGTGAATAGAGAGTGGTATATAGGTTGTTTCAGTACTTGCATTCCTCTTTTGAACTGGAAAGTTTCATTGACTCGACACTTTTTGATATAATCCCCAAGAAATCTAAACGAAAATATGAAAACAATGCTACAGTGACTTCAAAGTAATCAATGTATAACCATAATAATGATAATAATAATAATACGCTGCTATTGAAAAATAATCAGTCGATGCCCAAACTTATTCAGTTCAAAAAAAAAATCCAATAGCTACATCCTCTCCCTATTCTCCCAAGGCACGCACGCACGATGAGGATAAAAACAGTTCGCTTGGACACACATCAAAACAATTCAATTTTTTTTTTGTAAATATATATTATATTGTCGTTGTGTAGGAATTCTTGCTCTTTTGGTTTGCATAAACATTTCAGCAACTGTTGCATTCTTAATTCTTTGTACTGTGCCACAGTGGTTATAGAAGGCCACCATATATAGGCGATACGAAGATGGTTAAATAGGATAAAGTTGCGCATTCATTAATTAATTCCGAGTATTTCCGGAGATATACGAAAAAAGCAGAAATTTTGGTCATTCATTTAATTTTTTTTTGCGTTATTTGTTGAAGAATATCAAAATTGATAGCACATTCACGTTGCCACTTTTTCCCTGCTATACGATGATATATTTTCAGATTCGCTATCCGACGTTGCCTCTTTACGCTACCATCATCAACTTTATTTTTTCTGAAAACGCCATATTGGATTTTCATAATAGCATGGTGAATCTTAAAATATCATCGTATAGCAAGGAAAAAGTGTCGATGTAAATGTGCCTCTCAATTTTGATATTTTCCAACAAAAAGCACCAGAAAAAATGAAAAAGATTTTCCAAAACTTCTATTTTTTTTTTTTTTTTCGTATATCCCCGGATATTTTCTCGGCGGCATAATGGGCGAATGGATTTTTTTTATTTCTTAAATAGAATCATCACTCAAATACCTTTGAATTTCATATTTTTTTAGAAATGTACCACGAGTGAAAACTGAGGTCACGATTTCGAAGACCATAGCACAGTTGACATTATGTTGAAATTCGATTGGGAACTTCAGAAATATTAGTTATTCAATAAATCATAAATTCTCAATTATGTATTGGTAATATTCCTAATTATCAATAGAAAAACAATTGTCACAAAATTTTCCCTCATGTGTTGTGGCTTATTGCTTATACATTTGTGTGAATAATAATTACTATATCACTTCACATTAGAGGACATTTGAACCGGTGAACGTGACAACACAGCGCACGAATTGTGGGCGGTGTCTTGTCAGTTCTCAGCATTCAGTACATTGTTGCCAAGTCTTCAAAATTGACATGATATTTTGTTATGGAGTATAAGAAATGTTTGGACATGCTGGTTGCTCGAAAAATTCGAGAATGAATTATATATATCATGGCTTCCTCCTATTATGTTTCATCTCGTGTTTTATTCAACGACAGAACTCTAATATCTTTTTGATAACTTGATTAT